CAATAAGGATCTATGGAAAGCTTGCCTCTGTTATATTTACAGCAGCTTTCTCCTATTGTTCCTGGAGAGACCTGGGATTGCACTGTTCTGCCACATCTGTCCTCAAAGAAAGCTTGGCAGACTAGCTCGGTAAGATAGCTAAGGAAACAGCCACGATGCCTCCAGAGTAAGCATACAGTGAGCTATATTTTGTTTAATGGAAACAGAAGAAAGATTATTCTCCCCTTTACATAAAAGATTTTATACAAAGCAGCCAAGCATCCTTGCTGTCTCTCTGTCTCAATAATTTCGAGGTTTCTGCTTCTACAAATAGCAACCTCATTTAATGATAGTCCTGTTTTTCTCAGCAAACTGATTGGAAAGGAAATGAGACAAGGAGTTGGCTAACCAGCAGGTGTCTATGTTTTCAGTATTTTCTGCTCCCTTCTCAATCTGGTATTCTGGCTGTCTCTGGATAGGTTCCTATACTGCATATATTCCAAAAGACTTACTTTCAGGGCTCTAGGTCCCTCTCCCTCTTCCCAGATTTCTGAAAACCCCACATTGAATGTCCTCATTGTCAACTAAGAAATATTGGAAAGCACTCTAAGAAGGGTCCAGAAACATGGAACTGTCACCACCTAGGGTAGCTTTTCTGTCCCTCATGATTTGGTAGAGAAGATCAGAGGAAGACAGTGATTTTTGAGTTGAGGAGAGAAGAGAAATTATCTATCAGTGACTACTTAAAGCAACAGAGCTATAATGTAGTTTCTTTTTCTCAAAGCAGAATTAACCTTATGAAGATTAAATATAATACAGGGGAATGTAGCGAATCTGCCAATAGTTAAGAATACAATTACATTTATATAGTGTGGAATGTTTGCCACTGAGCCCTGGGGGATAATACATCTACCCAAGTTGTTTGAACTAGACTTCCTCCTGTGAGTCACAGAACCCAGAAACCGATTGTGGTCACTTTTTTCCTAGGTTTAATACAGAGCATTCATCGTGTTTAAGAAAGAAATTAAATCAAAGTACAATAGTTAATTTCACAAACCTTATGATTTTAATGATTAATCATCTGAGGTTAAGAAGAAGTCCCCTGGAAAGGTAGAGGAAATAATCATTGCTTTGCTTTGTTGCTAAGAAATCTTTGTTGTTATTTATATACCATCTCCCTTGTTGAATTTTTCTTCCTCCTTTTCCCCCACTGAGAGAAGTTTTTAAGGAACTTCTCAGTAATCCCTGTCCAAGTCAACTTCTTGAGAAACTAGACCTGCAAAGGGGAATCTCTCTGTCCTCTTAGGAAACACAACTACTAAGACAACTTGACAGTGCCAGTAAATGCTACTTGATATTTCTGGTATTGTCATTTGAATTTTTTAACTTCCAGGTGTGCATTACAGGGTAAAGTGAGTAGTTCATTATGTTGATGTCTTGCAAAATGCAAAAACGGAAAAACATATCTCAACAAGAAATTGTGGAGACTGAATAAAATCCCTGTTGTCTTGAAAAAAAGATAAAGTTCCCTTTGTTCTTGGCATTGCACATTCCAAATGTGAAGTTGATAATGTAGACGGCCCATGTTCAGTAATGACACTTTTATCTGGAATAAAGCATGTTTTTTTTATCCTCTTGATTTCCTCTCTAGGACAAATATTGATGCTCTTATGGTTGTGAATTGCTACCCATTTACTTCAAAACCAGCAATCTCTTCTATTTGAGGCACTGAGATGAGAGTGAACAAGAAATAAGTGATGTTGAGGATCAGAGGAAAAGGAAAGTGATAGGCCTGGGAATGTTGATGGTGAGTGTATTAGGAAGTAGGCTTGTTTCAAGGAGAGTCATTACCCAGTACTTACAGACAGTGCCTCAATTTAGCTGATGCAGCTATCTGATACTGGCCATCGAAGCAACATTTATCCATTACCTCCACAAGAATGTTATCTCTCTGCTTCACAGTTACTTTATAAACTCCTTCTGGGATTATTTCTTTAATGATGGGAACCACTGTGTGGCCAACACACATGAAATAGTTTAGGACATAGTTGACATGCTTTAATGTTGAATCACACAATTCCTACTTCACAGAAAAAACTGCCACACATTCTTCAGGACACAAGAGAAAGCAACTGACAAACTCTGTCAGTATAAGGCAGAGCAAACCTTCCAGTTTTCTGCTTCACTGAGAAGTCTGCCAGACACTCTAGGCCTATAAGCTGAAGATAGATGCCTAATGACACAGAAGAACTTTGGGTGACTATATAGACAGCCAGATATCTCTGTCATTTCTAGAGTTTTGGAAGTTGCTTTACAATGCACGTCCTGTTTACTTAGGCAATATTATATACTTATCCGGTCTTTGTTGGAATTGAGGACAGTTATAGTTTTCCTTTGTTATGATAAAAGATAAATTAAATGTAAAACTTTAGACTCACAATCTGCAAATAAATTAAATATTGTAACTGTAATTCTTGCTTGATAACTGTTTTGTTATATATAATTTTACTGTGTTAAAGTTAAAACCTTCCTTTTTTAATTAGACAGAAAAGGGGGGATAAAGTGGGGTGTACTTCTGTATGTTGTGATTATGTGCTGATTTCATTGGTTGATGAATAAAGCTGTTTTGACCAGTGACCAGGCAGAATATAGCTAGGTGGGAAATCCAAACAGTTATGGAGAGAAAGAAGGCAGAGTCAAGAGATGCCAAAAAGCTGTTGAAGGAATAAGGTGTCAGAACATTACCGGTAAGTCACAGTGGCATAGTGATACTAAGATTATTAAAAATGGGTTAATTTATAAGAGAGAGCTAGCCAGTAGTAAACCTGTGCCATTGGACAAGTAATTATATTTAATATTAGCCTCTGGGTGATTATTTCTTAAGTGGCTGCAAGGACCTGTGAGTGGGAGAGAAACTGGCTCAGGGGGACCAGTAGGACAGAGAAAAACATTCAGCTACATCCATCTGTGGACCAATTGAAGTATTATTTAGAATTGTTTGTAATGGACTTGATCACATAGGAAGCTGGAATCCTGTTTGCCAGGTGGAGTTCTCCATGGGCTCACAAGTGGAACACCTTCATTAAGCAGTTTCTTTTATATACTGCAGTCTATAAGGTCACTGCTATTCAAATGTGTGATGGCTTCATTGGGGTCACTCGTAAAGAGATTTCTCATTGAACACCAGAACTCACCAAAAGCAGACTTAGTCCCAGTATATTCACTTGGTTGAGTCTGATGGGACGACAGTGTTCATGTGTCCCAAAATGGAGTTCTTACATGATATAGTGGCCCAGGAAAGTAGGAATCCACTGAGACTCCATTTTCACAGTTCACATTGTGAAACTCATTCGTTTTGTCACTAAAGACAATAATGTCGATAGCACATGCAAAGGTGATACCTGAAGAACAGAAGAGAAGCATCAGTATTTCCCCCAAAGTATTCACTCCTTAAACTCTCCATTGACATAGCTGTATGCTCAAAACAGCGTTCCCTATTGCTTAAGACACTGTGAACTTCAAGCATAAGACCCAAAGGATCTCAGCTGGATCTAACCTCAATACCTCCTCTCTGAGGACTAGCTTCCATGGCACTAGAAGCAGCCATGAAAGTTTCCAAGGGAGGAGAGTAGCCAGTAGTCCTACTCCAATAGCTATGGTGCCTATAAACTACAACAATGACCATCATAGGACAATAACTCTTAAGGGTACAATAGTGGCATACAAAGCTTGGCAGTAATCAACATCTCTCTAATTGGATTTAAGAAATGTGAAAACTTCTTGAAAGCAGATACACTATTATAATATTCGAGATAATTATGCAGACTATAGTAGGAACTTGAATGGCTAGTAGAGAACCAATGCTTGTTTCCCTAGCTCAGAAAAGCAATGCTGTAAGTGATACATGTAAAGGAGACAAAATTTTGTTTCTCTCTACAACAGAATTAACATGCTCTTTCTATAGTAGAAAGCACTCTTGAACTGGACCATCACAATTCTAAATTTAAGCACATAAACATGATTTGTTGTTGTTTTCAGAAATGTTGACTTGAAATATGCTTATGGCTATCACAATGTCTAAAAGCCCAATGAAGTCACTGAAAATTCAGGCAAACGGACTTATGATTCTGTCTACCAAAATGTTAGTAGTAACAGCAATAATAATAGGAGCTATTCACTGGATAATGAGCCACCACTCATTTTCACACACCTGATGAGTCCCTGACTCTCCTCCTTCCTTTCATTCTCCCTCTTCCTACTCTCTCTTTTCTTGGCCATAAATATTGAGTTCCTACTTGGTCCCAAGAACCACATGAGGCTTATGATACAATGGACATCGAAATCCAGCCAAATGAGGATTCTGACCTCACAGAGTGTGTAGTTTAGTGGGAAGACAGGTATTACTAATGCCATGTTACATCAGGATGTGCTGAAACATCTGTAAGTATCCCCTTTGATGGAGAAATGGGAAAATGTGGGGCTACAAAAGAATGATCTCAATAATGCAAGTCATTACTTCTTGCTAATGTGAGGTAGAAGGCAACTGCATCCTTAACATGAAATGGGGTGTACATATTTTCCCTAAAGACCTGGGTCAAATCGGTGTTACTATGGTGAAATAATTTTTTACATAAACTAGATTTATTAGTCCCTAGAGAGAAATGCAGAGGTATAGTAATAACTTATCACCAGAGTTTGAATCCCACATAAAAATGGCCAGCAGATGATCTGAGCTCACAACATCTCTCTAATTCTTTTGTGTAAATCTCAGCTATTCTCAGGAAGATGGCTGAGGTCAGGAGGATTACTATACTGTAGTGTGGTGTTTGTTAAGTGATTTTCCATTAACTAGTCTCCCATGGATCTATGATTGAATAGTTTCATTCACAAAATTATGATTTTACTTTTTCAAAGTTGCGTCTCACAAACACATACACACACACACAGACCACATATGCACACACAATCAAAAATTGTATACACTGCAGAATAGAGATAAATAAAGTTGTTTATCTCCCCTCCCCTCTATTTCCAAGTTCTGCTTCTAAAAGTCTTGTTTTCTTTTCTTGACAGATGTTCACTACTCCCAGACTTGTCTCCAGCTTCTGGACTTAGTGATCCGTTAGCATCAACCTCCTGGACCACAGATGTTTGGCAACATCTTCAGGTAGCTCTTAGCTTCTTCAAAAAAGTAAAAGATGGATAATCATTTATGAAACAATTAACAACTGTAGGTTAGTTCAATTTAAGAACAACTAAGGGCTGGAGAGAGGTCCCTGCTGTTAAAGCCTACAACCAAAAAGATAAGAACAATCTGAACCCTAGACTTATGGCTGAGAGGTCAACAGGGGACTGATCCAGACTACATGAATGTAGTTTCAGTAAGGAGGCCTCAGAAATCTCTGGGGCCTTGGGTAGTAGATTAGTGATCACCATGGCATACAAATTAACATTGGGAGTCCATTCCACATGGAGGGATGTTCTCTCAGCCTGGACATATGGGGAAGGGCCTAGGTCCTGCACTGGATGAAATGACACACTCTGGAGATCCCCCCAAGGAGAGCCTCACCCTCCTTGGGGAATGACGTGGGGATTGGGCTGGGGGCCGTGGGGGTGGTGGTGGTGGTGAAGGGACAAGGGAGGAGGGGTGGGAGAGGGAGCTGGGATTGACATTTGAAGCATGCATGTTTCTAATTTAAATAAAGACATATATTGAAAAAATATCTAAGACAAAATGTGTGTGCTCCTAGTTTATGATTCCAAGGATTTGCAGAAACAGAAAAAATTTAAATAATAGCACATTGAAAACAAAATGTTAGAATAAATTTTGTGCTGTGTCCAAATCAGAAATGGTGTATATGTATGTTAATGTATATGAGGTGTGATCATGTATGTGAGAAAAAAGAAAACTCTTCTTATATTAAAATGATTTTCTTTTTGCATTTGATTTTAATCATTTAATACAGTGATTATGAAGCTCACCCATGAGAATCCACAGAATGCCAAAACAAAAAGATTCAATAGCAAGGACAAAAGATCAATGCCTGTAAAGTAATCACAGTTTGGTCAGCAACAGATCCTTCAGGACAGTATTATGTTCAGAGGCAGTAGGATAACAATGGCAAACAATAAAGTGATATAATAGCTGGATCAGAGAACTGTGCAGTGGAACATTTAGTGAGTGAGGATGTGGAAGGGTAGATTTTTTTCTGTTATCCTTTGTCTTAAAGTTTGCATTATTCTCACCTCAGTCATAAATGTTAAAATATTTTATAGCTAAAACTTAAATCAAAATGTAAGTGTATTATGTTAGTCCTAAAATGATTCTAATTTTCTAACAATGCTGTTGCTTTATAAAGTAAAACAGGCTGGATTTTTTTAGCATTATATCATCTTCCTGCATCAGTCCACAAGTGTCTCTCATATGCCCTTCCAAACATGCTCAGTGAACTACACTTATGAACACCTTGGCTAAATGAATGGAGAAGGGAGAGATAGATGCTTCATTGAAATAAAAGTTCAGAAGAGACTAAGTCTTGGTTTTATCAATGTGCTTTGATGGGGTTAGAAGACTTTAAATACAGCAGACAATCAGGTAATGCAATCATGCTGTTATTTAACAGAGCAACAACCTGAAGAGGGAGGCCACACCTCTATGAGAAATGTAATCAAGCAGAGTGCACCTGTATCATCAACAAACCATGGCCTAGATGAGCTGAGGAGGAAGACTGGATAGCTAAATAAGCTAATATGTACAAGAGACAAAGTTCTGGGAGGAAATAGCTTTGGAATTCCCTCCATCTAGAGCTAGAGTCAACAGGGTGACTACTTATCACTCCTTCCTATACTTTCCTTTGAATGAACACAATCACTTGAAGATATCCTGTTAATAAAATTTTAATTAATTTTGCTAATGTCATTTCTTTTATGTGCAATTTATATATGAGATTATGCATATATTTTCACTTGGATTTTGCCTGTCTTTGCCTCTTTTGTCTTTCCCTTGGCACTCTGAGCCATGAGAACTCCACTTTATCTATATGCTTAAGTTTCTGTCTCCCCATCTTACTTATTTGATGTGTGATTTTTTTAGTCACTGTTTTAGAAAATAAAATGCTAAGCTCAATTTAGTACATAGTGATTTTTACACTCAGTGACTGTAGAAATTTCATCAAGTTAACTTGTTTTTCTGGGTAAAGGAACATATATCAGTTAATAATATAGATTCTTATTCTTTTGATATTCTAGTCATTATTTTCAATTTCTCATCATATTGAATTTTCCAGAACTTCCCCAACAATAGTAAGGAATGCTCATCTCATATATAATCCTTGTTTAGTGTCTAATTCTTGTTGAGATGCTCTATGACATTAGGATGTCAAATGTCTGTTCACCATCTGTTAATATGCTGTAATACTTTGATGTTTTATCAAATTCTCTTGGGTAAAATTTAATTTTAGTTTTAGCATCTTATCCATCTGAAGAATTTACAGAACTCTTGTGGAACACCTGCCTTATGTCATCTAATGCCGGTCTGGTTGTTAAGTGTATGATATTACCCATAAGCTTTTTTGTATGGAGTTTAGACCTAAGGGCGGGTTTCCTTTTTTGCCTTCTCAATATTTCTTAATTGATTTTCTTCCTGGATGATCCATTATTAAAAGTGTTAAATTCACCAGTTATATTCAGTATTTTGTTAGTTTACTCTTTCGGGTCTATTAGTATTTGTTTCTTATGTTTAGACCTTTTGTATTCTATGAATAAATCATCATTGTATCTTATATTAATTAGACTCTTTATCATTATATTATGACATTATCTATTTCTTGAGATCACCTATGACTTAAAATTTATTTTTGCTGATATAATATAGCCACCCTATTCTCTTAGGATTCCCATTAGCATGGAATATATTTTCCATTCCTTTGTTTTTTCTCTTGTGTCTGAACAGTAGCTTTTTTTCCTAGAAAACAAATGATTGGATTACAAATAATACACTCACTTTGTGTAATTTGATTGTGGAATTCAATTAATTTATGCTTGCAGTTATTTTTGATATACACAAAATTAACACCCACACTTGGTTACAAGGCTTCTGGTTACTTTATAGTTCCATCATTAGATGATTCTGTTCTTGTATCCTTTGTCCTTTGATGACCTCTCTTTGGTAATGTGCTTTCATTTCTTTCCATTAACATTTAGTTACCAACTACAATGTTTTCCTCGGTCATTATTGTGGTGCTTGCATTACATATTTCACAGTTATAACATTTTAAGCTGATAACATTTTCAATCATTTACTTCAGTTCTATATTGTTACCTTTCTCCCAATGTTTTAAGTTATTTATGTTATAATTTATATCAGTTTTATTATATTTAAAGAAAAATTATTGTTCTTATAGTTGATTGTCATAGTTTGTTTAAAAAGTCTCATGGCAAATTCTATAGTGATTTTTATAACACCACACGTATATGAGGTGGGAGATCTGTTCATTAACTTGATTTAATAATTTCTCATTATAAACATAAATAAAAAATCACAGTGCATTCTATAATTATAATGAATTATTATTTGTCAATTAAAAATAAAACCTAAAGAGCAAAAATTTAAAAAAGTAATTGTGTTTCAGACTTGTATTTAACTGGTGAGTTTTTCATTCATAGTCTTTTATGTTGCTAACAGCTGATTTTCATTTCCTATGGAAACCATAATAAGATTTCCTAGGAATAGCACTGACAAACTTCCCTCTGGTCATGTGGGGTAGCAGGCTGTGCTCCCCAGCTGTGCAGTACTCTAGCTGGCCTCACAGTAGGACATAATTGTTTTGCAGCATCTGAAATCACTTTGGCCAGATAGAGTGCCAATTTGCTCTCTAGCTGGATGGTGCTGCTAGAAAGACACCATATTTGAATGTGATCATAGGTTATCTCCAAAATTGGATGGGGCCTCAGATTTTCTCCATAGCCAAGTGAGACAGCTGGACTCCATCATCGATAAGGTCTCAGCTGAGCTCTGTGGATGTGGGGAACTTGACTGTTTTCTGTCCAGTTTCAGGCTCTGCTATGATGAATCCTAGTTGCTCCTAGACACTCAGGTTGGGAAGGGCTGCAGGCTGCTGCCTGCAGTTGTTCAAGGTTACAATCTAGGCTTCAAGATTATAACTACAGCTTCTTGTGTCAGAACTCAGACCAAAAGGGAGTTGTGTGTGTGGGGGAGATTTCTGAGTACTTGTGAGAAAACTCCAAGAAAACAAGACGTGAGTCTTGTGATCTTAGTTTCTTCAGAACACACAATTGTTCTTGGAATGTGTTTCGTGCTATACCCAGGTGTAGCAGATAGGTGTGAGTTTATTTCAGGTGTTGTTATTTATGACTCATGCTATTCACATTAATATTCCATATTCTATGAAAAAACATGTTTTTTTTTGTTTTTGTTTTAGCCACATGAGGCTTGTCCTTGTAATTATATACAGTTTGAAATCATGAGAACTTTACTCAGGTGACCTTTCTTAACCCTCAGGGTGTAAATTATTTTGATGCTCTGGAGAAAGTTGGATATTGCATGAGATTTCAGTCTGCCTCATTTTTACGCTCTGTTTTCCCAGGTTCATGCCACCAGCCTGATAGAACAGTAACATTCACGGTCTGATGAGGACACTGGGCTGTACATATAATGGCTGGACGATAGGGTCTGACATAGTGCGTGTTATTAGTTAAGGACTATAATATGATGAGGTAACTTTGGGTTTTCTGGGCTGATAAAGCCAGAGTGTCAATACCTCATGACTTGGTGGGATTGCTGGGTGGCACCATGATTGGATTGGTAGAGCTATGGGCTCCAACCCTATGACTATGAGGGGATACAGAACATGTATCTAAATTATGTAAGCTCTCTTGCTAATTGCCAGTGTGTCCCTTGGTGTGGCTTTGTGCTTGATCCCATAGATTTTGAATGAATGGTTCCTTATGTTTTAGATGATTCTGACTTCCTTTTTATTATGATTGAATTAAGACTTGCAAGAAATGTTCTATATTTTAAATTTTCTCAGCAGTACTTCTTGTCATCTTGGTATTATGACAAATTTTGTTGGTGTTTTCTTAAGAATATATAACTGGTAAAACCCAAATAAAGTGCATGATTAATTTTTCAACATGTTCTAGCAATAAATATATACACACAAACTCTATTCTCTATTTGAAGAGAATAGATTTCTATGCACATTTCCAGTGATAAGTGTTTACCCCACAACTTTCCCGATAGGATGGTTTGTAACAGTTGTAGCATTTGATAATTTCCATGGTATATATACTCCTATCCTGGCTTATTTCAAGCCCCCAGAGTGATGTCACCAACTATGTAGGTGGGAAGAGTTATGCATATAAGCTCTTAAAAACTGATGCGAACCTGTTCTGGAACACCACTGCATATATCTATTAAGTCAAGTCTACTGATGGTATTATTAAATAATTCTTTTAAGATCATTTATTTCATCTTTTAATTATGTGTACTTATATGTGGGTATTTGCATACTAGTGTGTATACAGCAGAGGCCAGAATAGCGTTCCCTATCTTACAAAGCTGGACTCACAGGATGTTGTGAGCCATCAATGTGGGTGCTGGGAAATGAAATGGGGTTTTCTTCAAGAGTGATAGGTTCTCTTAAACACTGAGCCATTTTCTATATTTGTTTAACTGCTGAGCTTTATTTACTTTAGATGCTGAGGAGTCAAGATTTTGTTGAAGTCTTCTGTTAGAATAGGATTGAAACAATTTGTTTATTCTGGGTGTGTGTATCTATAAGGGGAGTAGTCACAATGCATATATGGAGGTCAGTGCATGACTTTTAGGAGTCAGTTGGTTTTATGGGTCCTGACGATTGAACTCTTTGTCACCAAGCCCTACAATAGCACCTATGTCCCAATTTTCTTTGAATATTGAGCAGATTTGCTCCACATATTCAGCCTTTGTGTTTTTAGCACACATAGCTAATGATTATTTAGCTAAATTAATCAATTGCACTTTTTATCACTGCATAATGATTCTTTCACTCCTATATAATTTAAAAATAATAAATTCAACTTATCTGACAAGAATAATCTCATATTTATATTTTCTTAGTTTGTGTTCTTCTGGTAACCTATTGTGGTTTATTTTATTTTTCATCTTTGTCACTTCATCATAAGTATGTTTTATAAAGAGCAAAATATACATTTAATGTAAGCTGGCAGTCCTTATTTTAACAGGAGAATTCTGTCTGTCCCCTTAAGCTGCTTGGTTTGATTGATACTTATTCTATTTGTTTTCCCTTAAAAATTGGAAGTTCTTCTATAATTTCCCTTATATTAATGGTTTTCCAGAGCTCTGTTTCAAGATAAGAACAAAATCAGCCACATTCTTGTGTACAGGATACTCTGGTTGTTGTGTAACCTATTTCCCTTGGCGTTTTCACTTTACATAATAAAGACCCTTTCAAGTCCTCACTTCCTCTCATTTCTTTCATTAAATAATTAATTGCCTCCCCTTGCCACTTGCAGCCTGTAAATTTTGCTATGATAATTTTTGTATAAACTAGCATATTCCTCCTAGTTAGAACTTTTAAGCCCTTAACACTAAGCAGTTTTTTAGACAAATTATCATGTTACTTTGTTTATAGATGTCTTTAGCATTCATGTATGTCCAAATTGATCACATTTAATTATCGAACTTTCCCATTTTTATGTATTGAAATTCCTTTTTGTTACCTTATTATTTGAGTAATGCTTCCAGCTCTTTTTCTTTGACTGCATTTGTTGTCTGTTGTCCTGCATCTCATCCGTGAAAGAATGGTCATATCTTAATTGGCTAGAGAATTAAGTTTCATACATTTAAATTATAGGTTTTATTCTAGTTTTCAACTTCTGTTAGTGAAAATGCCAGTTTTATTTATTTATTTAATATTACATGCGGGTGCAATCTTGGTGTCATATAAGAGTTATCCTTTTATCTTTAAGAGATTGTAGCTTTATTAAGGTATGTTGAAAAGTTTTTGTTTTGTTTTTTTGACTTGACATAAAAGAGCCTTTCAAATTGCAGATGTTGTTTGATGAGGTAGGAAATATCTTCTTTTATTTGTCTAATTACTTTGGCCTTTCATTGATTCCACTTTGTTCTAAAGCTCTTGTGATTCATGTTAGGTCTCGGGGCTTCTAACTCTCATTTCCTGAAGCTCTCCGTTTCCAGTCTCTACTTTCACAATTTCCCTATCTCCTGGTTTTTCAAGATATTTTTGCAGGTTCTTCTTTTTTTTAAAGTTAGAAAATCATGTGAAATGATGCTTTTAAAAATTCAGATGGTTGGAGAGATTGCTCAGTGGTTAAGAGTACCAGCTGCTTTTCCAGAGGTGCCATTTTGATTTCCAGAGACTTCAGGTAAAATAACAGTCATCTGTAACTCCACTTCCAGGGATCTGACACTCTCTTCTGGCCTTTGCAGGTAATGCATGCATATGGTCATAGACATACGTGTAGGCAAAACACAAATACACATGAAATAAAAATAAGTAAGTCTTAAAGATAAAAATAATAACTAAGAGTAATTACCAGCAACATCGATGGGTTTTTAAATCCAGAAAGTAGAGGCTGCGTTCTATCTCTGCTCCTATTATCTCACAGCATTGGAGAAGGCACTTGCCTCCTAAAGCTTAGCTTAATCATCTGTAAAGGGACCTAATTTTTGAAATATATAATAATGATTTAATGGTACAGAATAGATATTTCTTTTCATAGTACTTGATACTTAAACAATGTTCCACAAATATTTAGTGTGACATTTGATTAAATATAATGGTTAATTTTAGGAATTATACTGGCTAGTTTTGTGTGTCAACTTGACACAAGATAGATTCATCAGAGAGCAAGGAGCCTCAGTTTAGGAAATGGCTCCATGAGATGAATGGAGGAGGGCCCAGCCCATGGTAGACTATGCCATCCATGGGCTGGTTGCCCTTGGTTCTATAAGACAGCAGGCTGAGCAAGCCAGTAAGCAGCTCCTCTCATGGCCTCTGCATCAGCTCCTGCCTCCAGGTTCTAGTTCTGATTGAGTTCCTGTTCTGACTTCCTCTAATGAGGGCCTATGATCTGGAAGTATAAGTCAAATAAACCCTTTCCTCTCCAAGTTGCTTTTTGGTCATGGCGTTTTGTTATAGCAAAAGAAACACCGACTAAGCCTGGAGTCAAGCTGAATGAACTGAAGGATACTTAGAAAACTGTGAAGCATTATTTCTGGATATATTTGTGAAGGAGGTTGGCACTTGAATGGGTCCAGTGAATGGGGAAGATCTGTATTGATGGATGCTGCCACTCAGTTGAAATCTCTGACTGAACAGAACAGCAGAAGAAAGGGGAATTGCCTTACTTTCTGCCTCTCCTAGAGCTTGACCCACTTCTGCCTTTAATGTTATAACACCAAGCCCTCTTTGTACTCTGAGACTTGTACAAGAAGTATTCCACTGCCTCCCCTCACTGGGTTCTCAGGCCTTGGGCTTTTTAGATTGAGAGTCAGTATCACTGGATTCCCTCTATGGGCGGCCATTGGACATCACCGAGCCAAGTTATATGCTTTCCTGGATCCTTAGGTTGTAATCAGTCTGTTGTAGAACTGAGCCCTTGTAATTGTGCAAGCTGAATCAACTCATATATCCATATCTTTCATTTCTTAATGGTTCCTTTTGAGTAGTATGCTAAACAACATAAAATTAAAGTTTGTGGAGGAAATTGCAAAGCTTCTCCCTCCCAAGAATTAACTATATAGTATGTATTTCATGGCTTTTATAGAAAAACTTTAAATTTTGCTAATAAATTATAATGTCTTGTGTAAGACTTGACAGTTTGTCCATAGCCTTGTGACTAAAACCAGATATGACTGCTATTGTAATGCTGCTGCCGAATTAAATTTTTTCTTGAAGGTTACCTATTTAATAAGTGATATATAGCTTGACCTCAAGCTTCCTAAGCTAAAGGTATTACTTTTACCGAGTATTAATCTATATATTAATACATTTTTGATTTATACTCACCAAAAGGTATCTGAATGGATTACAGTCATTCAATTTCATATTTAGTACATTGATTCAGTTCAGTTTATTTTTTCTTGAAGCCTTTAGGTGTGACTCGAGGAAAGTCTTAAAGAGACAAAGGTAAAGCAAGACATGATCACAGTTGAGTGAAGATAAATCTAATCAACAAGCTTCCTTATGAGCTAATGTTGAAGCTGTAGTTTTGGGAGTACATACACTTCAGGCCTGAAAACAATGAATAGTTAGCATTCCTCTTCTTCCTCACTTTCTCCTTCATCTCTCTTCATTGTTCTTCTCAATGATAGCCACAGGTCTCAGATAACTCTGTTTCTGGCCTATATTCTATTGAACAGAAGAACACTTGGCTTATTTCATATCAAACATTGGTTTGTATGAGCCCAGTTCATCAATGACTGTGATGTTGCTCACTGTACACAGCTCTACCAGGTACCATTGTGGAAGCTGCTAATTCATGCCCAGAATTTCATGTGCTAGAAACTTAGCTTGGCAAATGACAGGACCTTTAAGAGGTGTAACCAAATGGGAGATAATTGGGTAATGAGTGCTCTGTGATTTAAAGGGGTTTAATATCTACCTTGTGTGGTTAAATTATGTCTTTCAGGACTGGATTAATTCCTGAAAGAGTAGGTTCGAATGAATCAAGAAATGTTTGCTAGTCTCTCTTGCTCATAATCCTTTTTGGTAATGTAATCTGCAGTGTTGTCCCTTACTAAATGGTGGAGTTGAATATTAAACAGGTGAACTTATTCTTAGACTTTCAGTTTTTAAAACTGTGAGCTAAATAATTCCCCATGTTCTTAAAAAAAGTAAACTCTCAGACATTTTGTTATAGTAAGATAACATAGAATAAAATAATAATCTGTTGTATAAGTCTTTTTGTTACAGAGTGGGAATAAAACCCACTCGATACATGCTAAGAAAGTACCCTACCCCTGGTATATACACCTGATCTGTCATTATTATTAATTGGGATTTGGTTCTAATGAGAACAAAAGTGGTAGCCTTTTATAAAATAAAAAATACTTATAAATATTTTAAATACTTATAAAACAAAATATTTAGTTATAGGAATTTGCAGATAATAATTATGATAAAAATCTTCTTTGCTGTATACTGATAGCAATGATTAAAACACTTAAAATAATTGGGTAAAAAGCATAGCTTCACAGCTGGTGTAATGGAACTGCATCAGACATTCATAGTTTCAGGAGTAATGGCTTCACAAGTGTAAATCCATCAAATAACTGGAATAATACTTTAAGCTTGCATTCAGCATCCCTAGTCAGTGTAAAGTTGGGGGCATCCACATTATAAACTTTTAGTTGGCTCCTGAGTCTGGTTCAGAGAATAAGCAGGGCACTAGCAGCAGTTTATGGTGGATTCCAGTTCCCAAAAAACTAAAAACTACCAAATGTTCCATGTGTATCACTCTTAGATGTACACCTGAGGGATTTTATGTCATCACACCACAGAGATACTTGTGGATTCATGTTTTGTTTGCATTTCTCTTTACAATAGCTAAGATGGGGCCGGGCTAGATATCCATCAACAAATGAATGTATAGATTGTGGCACACACACAATGAAATACTGTTCATCTATGAAGAAAAATGGATATATGATATTCTATGGAAAATGGATGCAAATGAAGGTCATCACGTCAACAAAATAAGCCAGACTCAGAAACAAATGCCCATATTTTCTCTCACATGTGCAAATGTATGTGTGCATATGCACATACATGTGCCCATGTCATGTAGCTCATGAAAGCAGAAGAAGGACCATGAGATGGGAGGAAGATGGGAGATGGAGATCTTAAAATAAGTGAGACAAGGTAGGCCAACTGAATACATGTGAAATGAAGACAGTAGAGTACACTATTTAGGGTTAGAAAGTAAATAACCAAAAGGGGACCAGGGAAGATGGGGGAGGACAATGGGAGAGAGGATGAATAAGAACAAAATATATATTTCTATGAATGAGACCTAATGAACCCATTATTTTTCATGCCAGCTAAAGAGTCAATAAAAAGCCAGGCATGGTGGTACAAGCCTTTAATCATATTACTCACGAGATAGAAGCTGGTGGATCTCTGTGAGTTTGAGGTTAGCTTAGTTTACATAGTGAGTTCCAGAACATACATGACTGTGGAGAGTATACCTCTCAAAAACAAACAAAAAACAGAAAACAGAAACAAGACAAAAATGAAAGACAAATACAAAACCTCCAAAAGAATTAATAAAATCAATAGGAAGGAAAACACCTCGAATTATTAGGCTTTTACAACATAAAGGTAAATGCCCATGATAGATTTGGCCATGATTTCTTGGATGTAATGCCATAGAATTAAGCAACTAAAGAAGCATTAGACAAGTTATATTTCACAATACTTTAATTTTTTTTGCATCAATGGACTCTAGTAAAACAGTTAAAAAGCAATCAGCAGGATGGGAGAAAATATTTATAATATTTATATATCAGAAGAGATTAATATCGAGACTACAGACAAGTAAACCTTAATGATGGAACCAAAGAATCCAATTAGGAAATGGGCAAGTGACCTGAGTAGGTATTTCTGCCAAATTTACAAATTGCAAATTAACACTAGTCATTAACCCAAAGTTACTAGGATGGCTATTATTCACACACACACACACACACACACACACACACACACATACACACACACACACACACACACACACACACAGGTACTCATAAACACAACTTAGAAACCAACCCAAAATAACTGATTTTTTTCAAGTTTAAAGAGAATTTGGAGCTCTTATACTTACTTGATAAAATGGCACAGTTGTAAAGTAGCATGGACGTTCCTTTAAAAACAAAACTAGGGTTACCATAGAATCTAGTAAGTTTCCTCTATGACATTTTACTGAAAGCACATTCATTCTTGGAAAGGTATTTATATGCCTACATTCAAGGAAAGGGTTATTCACCATAGATAAAATTTGGAAATTGAAGGGCACATGAGCCAGTTAAAGATGGTGCTGAGGGGAAGTCAGGAGGGCAAGTCCTGAGATGTTTACAAAAAAGGATGATTGGTTGCCAAGATCAAACCAGGTGAGGCACTGCATGAACTGCTCGTGTTCACTAGGTAAAGCATTGGGTGCCTAGGCGCATGATAGTCTGACCTTTAAAACTATTGGCTGTCCAGAACTTGGAGGCAACCTAGATGCCCCTCAACTGGAGTGGATAGAGAAAATGTGGTACATTTACCTAATGGAGTACTATTCAGTAGAAAAAAACAATGGAGTCCTGAAATTTGCAGGTAAATGGATGGCACTAGAAGAAACAGTCCTGAGTGAGGTAACCCATTCAAAAAAGAGAAACATGATATGTTGATGCTGCAACGATGAACGGCATACTTACTGAAAGTATAAGTAAGTATTTATTGTAGAAATTACTCACAAGAGACAAACAAGTAACCCAGATGAGCTGAGTATTTTTCTGCCGTCAAACTGGAAGCTGGAAAGAGGGCGAGACTTCTGCTGTTCAGTCTTTTATTCCTTCTTACGTACACTTTTGGGCATAGCTAGTGACATAGTTCACCGACTATGTCCGTATACATCTTTAGTCATGCCTAAAGTGGGTGTGGTTAGCGGTGCGGTAAACCGCCCTTTTATTACCTCACCTGTATGCGCCTCTAATAAGTCACTTGGCTAATGCCGGAGCACTGTTTCCTCCTACAATACGTACTCTCTCATACATGGAATTTAGACATAGATCTGGGGAGTGCCAGCCTACAATCCTACTGTCAGAGAGTCTGGGAAACAAAACCTTCATTCAATGGCTGATGGAAGCAGAGGCAGACTCCTACAACTAAACACTGAGCTGAAATCAGGGAACCCAGTGACAGAGAGAGAGGACTGATGAGCAAAGGGGTTAAGACTGGGCTGATTTAACCTCTAGAAACAGCTGACCTGACAAGGGCTAGCTCTCGAATCCCAGACTGATGGCTGGGAATCCAGCATGGGACTGATCAAGACCCCCTGAATGTGGGCACCAGTGAGGAGGCCTAGGCAATCTATTGGGCCTTATTTATCCCTCACATACAAATGGACTTTGGGTGCCCATCCCACAATGTGAGATGCACTCTCACCATGGACTCATGGGGGAGGGTCTAGGCCTTGCCCTGGATGAAATGACAGACTATGGACACCCCATGGAGGGCCTCACCTTCCCTAGGAAGTGAGGGAGTATTGGAGGGGGTTGGTGGGAGGGTGTGGGAGCAGGGGAGGGAAAGGGAGAGGGACCTGGGGTTGACATGTGAAGCAACCTTGTTTCTAATTTAAATTTAAATAAAAAAACTATTGGCTATCTGTTTTCCTGCTCTGTGGTATTTTGCTTTAAAAGATGCTTGCTGTGGGGGCAAAAAATGAGTTCTTGCTTGATTAGACTCCCCACTGAAACTGGGGAATGGGTGAATAGTACATTTACTCTTCCTCGGACCCAACTCAGCTCTCTGTGGTTGGGCTAAGATCCTGAAGGAACTAATCTAGTTGCTCAGTAAAGCTAAATGTCATATGTAAACAATGTCATATTATTCAGTCTTAGAAACAGAAGCAGAGCTCACATATGCTACAAAGTGGAAGCTGGAATAATTTGTTGGTTAAATAAGGCAGCCACTAAAGGCAAATTCAGGATTAGTCCACTTACATGCAATATAAAAATCTCATACAGTAGAGATATAAAGGAGAAGTAAAACATAATGAAATAAACAGACAATCCAACTAGAAAACAGATAAATGACCTAAAAAGATGTTTCTGCCAAATTTACAAATTTTAAAATTGGTTATCAGCTCATACTCATTAAGATGGCCACTATTAACACTCATACATACATACATACATAACATGCATGCACACATGTACATACACACATATGTGTGGATAATCATGCATTAATAAGTGGGTTTGGAGGAGAGGAGAATAGGGAGCCACTGTATAGTAGGTATAGGCTAGTGTCTCCATTTTGTAAGAAGAAAATTTCTGCTGATGGATAGTAGTGATGATTGCACAGCAGAATACATTTACTTAGTGCACCTATAAATGGTTAAGATAGCC